CACACACACACACACACACACCAGAAATACTTAACACCAAGAGGAAAAAAAGCTTCAAAAAATAAAACAGCATCAATAAGCTGTGAGATAACTTCAAGCAGCCTAATAATCCTTAACGGAGAAGAGAGTGTGTGTGTGTGGGGGACGACACAGAAAACATATTTGAACAAATAATGGGTGACAATTTTATAGATTTGGTAGTAAACAAACTATAAACCCACATATCCAAGAATCTCTAAGGCCCCTGAATATGAAAAAGGGGAATAAAACAATACCAAAGCACATTATATTCAAATTGCTCAAAACTCATGATAAAAAAAAAATCTTAAAAGCAGCTGGGTGGTGGTTGAGGGATGGGAAAGACATGTTATATACAGAGGAACAAAGATAAAGATAGCAGATTTCTCATCTGAAAATAATGCAAGAAGACAATGGAGCAATGTCTCCCAATTACAGGGAAAAACCCTACCAACCTAAACTTCTATACCCAGATATTGTGTGACAAAGAATATGGTGGCCTTTGTCTTCAGTTCCTGGACTGAGCCTCTAAATCCTTGGAATTTTCCCAAGTGATAGGTGTGTCTTTGTTATTCATGACTGGACCTGATAGTTTATAAGACTGGGATGACTCAGGGTAAGGGCTGGCCATGCCAGAAAAACCAACTCATTGCATGAAGCCAGTATTACCTTAATACCAAACCAGATAAAAACATTACAAGAAGAGTATAGACCAGTATCTCTTATGAACATAGATACAAAAATGCTCAACAAGACATTTGAAATATAAAATCCAACGTATAAAAAATTATATACCACAACCAAGTAGAATTTATTCTAGCTATGCAAGGTTGATTCAACATTTGAAAATTAATCAGTATAATCTACCACATCAACAGACTAAAGAGGAAAAGCCATGTAATTGCATCAATTAACACAGAAAAGACATTTGACAAAAATTTAATACCCACTCCTGATTAAAAAAACCCTCAGTTGGGCTGGCCGAGTGATACGTTGGTTAGGAGTTGGCCTGGGATGCCAGCTCTGAGCAGCAGGACCCCGGTTCGGATCCCACATGAGGGCCAGTGACGCTGGGCCCTCTACAGCTAAGATGGTGAACAATAGCTCGACCTGGAGCTGGGCTGCTGTGAGTTGCCAGCAACGGCGTAGGCTGCAGTGGGGCTGGTCGGCAGCTGGCGTGAGCTCTTGTGAGCTGCCATGAGCCACCGTGCAATGGCTGATGAGCGACTGCCTCACCCAGGAAAAGTGCAATGATAATACCAACATGGGCCAGTGAAGCGACATCCTCCACAACTAGACTGAAGAACAAAAAGGACAGCAAGTTGTCTGTTCCCCTTCCCTGATTCCCCAAGGCTGTTCCCCTCCCCCCAATTCCCCAATAAAATCTTAGAAAAACAGCGAACTAGGAATAAAGGAAAACTTCCTCAACTTGATCAAGAGCATCTACAGAAGACATACTGCTAACAACAGACTGAGAAACTGGATGCTTTCCCTCTACAAGGCAAGATATCCCCCCCTCCCCACCACTCTATTCAATATCATACTGAAGTCCCAGTTAGTGCAGTAAGACTAGAAAAGGAAACAAAAGGTAAATAGATTGGGAAGGAAGAAATAAAGCTGTCTTTGTTTGCAGATGATGTGATGTCTATGTAGATTAAATAATCAACAAAAAAAGAAAGCAAGAAAAAAAATTTAAAAAATCACTGCTGGAAGAACTTATAAGCAATTATAGCAATGTCGCAGGATACAAGGCTAATGTACAAACCAACTGCTTTCCTTTATACTGGCAATGAACAACTGGTAGTTGAAATTAAAAATACAATTAACGTTAACATAAATATAAAAATGTTTACACATAAATTTAATACATTTACATACAAATCTACATGCTATAAACTATAAAACGCTGATGAAAGAAATCAAAGATCTAAATAAATGAGATGATACTGCATGTTCATGGATTGGGAGACTCAGTATTAAGTCTTATTAAGATGTCAATTCTTCCCAACTTGATCTATAGATTCAACGCAATTTCAATCAAAATCCCAGCAAGCTAGTGTGTGAATATCAATAGATTCTAAAGCTTATACGGAAAGGAAAAATAACCAGAATGGCTAACACAATACTGAAGAAGAACCAAGTTGGAGGACTGACATTACTTGATTTCAACACTCACCGTAAAGCTACAGCAATTAAGACAATGTGGTATTGGTAAAAGAAAAGAAACATAGATCAATGGAACAAAATAAAGCACCCAGAAATAGACAAACACAACTATAGTCAATTAATATTGACAAAGGAGCATAGGCAATTCAATGGAGTAGTCTTTTCAACAAATGGTGCTGGAACAATTGGGCATCTATATGCAAAAAAAAAAAAAAAAGGAATCTAGACACAGTCTTTCACAAAATTTAACTCAATATGGATCATGTAAATGATCCTAATGTAACATTTGCCTAAATGTAAAACACAAAACTACTGGGTTGCCGGAAAAGTCATGATATATTTTTTCTATGTTTTTCATTGCAAAAATGCGTCATGACTTCTGACAACCCAATATAAAACTTTTAGACAACATAGGAGAAAAACAAGGTAACCTTAGCTTTGGTAATGAATTTTTAGATATGAAACCAAAAGCATAATCCATGAAAGAAAAAAATTGGTAAGTTGGACTGCTTTAAAATTAAGAACTGCTCTGCCAAAGACACTGATAAGAGAATAATAAAGATAAGCTACAGTCAGAAAAAAAACCTTGCAAAACACATATCTCATAAAAGATCCACAACACACAAAGAACTCTTAAAGCTCAACAATAAGAAAACAACCTCAGTTAAAATTGGGTGGAGGGGTATCTAAATAGACATCTCATCAAAGAAGATATATAAGTAGCAAACAAGCATGTGAAAAGTTGCTCCACATTATCTGTCCTAGGAATTGCAAATTAAAACCACAATGGGATACTCACATACACCTATTAGAATGGCTAAAAAATGGACACTCTCTATTGCTTGTGAGAATGTGGAACAACAGAACTCTTATTCATTATTAGTGGGAATGTAAAATGGTATAGCTACTTTGGAAGACAGTTTGGCAGTTTCTTACAATGCTAAACATAATCTTATTGTACAGTTCAGCAACTGTACTCTAAGTAATTACAGATGGTCCCCAACTTACGATTCTGTGACTTGGTTTTATTATATATGAAAAATAAGCTTCACAAAGATATGTAGCTCTCAACGGAAGAAGTGCATTCATCATTGGCTGTATTTAT